GGAAGTGTGCCTGGGCTATAAACCTCAAGGCCTGCTGTCTGTGACCTACTTCCTCTAGTGAGACTCAACTTCCTAAGACTTCCACAACTCTCTAAGTCAGCATCACCAGCCAGGAACCACGTCCTCAAACAAGAGCCCTTAGGAAGCATTGTGTCCTCAAACCACAACAAAAGCCTTTATAGGCTGCAGCTATTAATATCTTGTCTGATGTGTAGTTGGCAAAGCTAGCCTCCTGTTCTGGGGATTTTCTCCCCCATTTTGCTGATCATTTTATTTGATGTCCAGAATCCCTTTAATCTAATGCAACTCTATTTGTCAGATCTTAGGAATAGTTCTGCGCTATTGGAGTTTCTTAACAGAAAGTGCTTGCCTATGCCTATGTCTTGAGGCATTTTGTCTGAATTTTTCTCCAACATTTTCAGAGTTCCAAGTTTTACACTGAGGTCTTTGACCCATTTTGAAGATTTCGTGTGTGCACACATGCGCACAAAATGAAAGATAAGGACCCAGTTTCATTCTTGTGTCAGCCCCTGTGTTGAACAAGATGTCTTTTTTTCTAATCTATGTGCCTAATACCTTTGTCAAAAGTTAGGTGGCTATAGCTATGTGGGTTTATTTCTGGGTCCTCTATTCTATTCTGTGGGTCCACACATCTGTTTTATATTAGCACCTAGCTGTTTTGTTACAAAGGCTTCACAGGGTGACTTGAGGTCAGGCACTGCTGTGCCGACAGCAGTTCTCTTTCTGCACAGGGCTGCATTTGCTCTTCCAGGACTTTTGTGCTTCCTTGTGAACTTTTGAGTTCTTTTTTCTGCTTTTGTGAAGGACGGCATGGGAATTTTGGTGGAGGTGCATGGTAGATTGCTTTCCTTGATGTAGACACTTCACACTATTAATTCTGCCAATCCATGAGCATGGGGAGTCTTTTTATCTGACGACATCTTCAGTTTGTTTTTACATAGTCTTTAAATTTGAATTATGGAAGTTTGTTAACTCCTTTGGTATATTTATTCCCCGGAAGTTTTTGAATATTTAATATATAGAAAGAAGGCACTGCTTTCATTATGTTGATGGTGTTGCATCCTATTTTGCCAAGAGTGTTTATCACATTGCAGCACTTTTTTTTCTGGTCATTTTTAAGGATCCTTGAAGCAAAAGATAATACCATGGGTCCTTCCATTAGCGAATAGCTAAATGAATGATACATTTATGTGATGGAATGGTATTCAACCATAAAAAAGAATGTCTATAGTGTAGACAAACATTGAGAACACAATTCTGAATGAAAGAAGCAAATTATCAAATACCAAATAATATATCTTATTCCATTAGTATGAGATGATCAGAACAAAAAGGTTATTGATTTCCTAGGGGTAGGAGATGTAAAGATTGGAAGTAATAAAAGAGACAGATTTCATTTTGAAATGATGCAAATGTCCTAAAAATGATTGTGTACAACACTGTATAATTGAGTGTAAATTCTAATACTATAGATATTTTGCCAAAAATGTACACATGTCATTGTAAATTCAAATTTATCTGTGGGCCCAAACACTCTTCAAGGAGGAAGGGACTTTTGGCAAAAGAAAGAGACCAAAACAGATAGAGTGGGAAGGGACTGTACAGTCATAGGTCAGGATCTACAGAGGACACAAAAAGTCCCAGGATTTGGATTCTTCCTCAGAGCTTTGTAGCTGCTGTTGCATCTTTATGCAACCTACCACCCAGATCTTTTGAACAGAAAACCTTTGAAACTAAAAGACAAACATAGTACAGTGGGGCCTGACAGCAGGTGCTGGGGTGACATTGCTCAGAAGGGAGTCCTAATTCTATCATTCTCTAGGTCAGAAAATACTTTCTGTGCCTCAGTTTCCCCACCAATGAGTTAACTGTTCGGTCCAGCAGCCACTAACCCTGAAAGCCTACTAAGCACTTGAAATGTTAGTGTGAGAAACAGGGAACAATTTCTCACGGGCCATCCTGCAATCAAGGATGGGGGATGGCCATCTCAGTTCATGGAAGAGAGGCTGAATCCTCCAGGCCTGTGGACTGTACTGACAGGATGGCCATCACAGCTCATGGAACAATTTCTCACGGGTCATCCTGCAATCAAGGACGGGGGATGGCCATCACAGTTCATGGAAGAGAGGCTGAATCCTCCAGGCCTGTGGACTGTACTGACTGAGCAGAGATTGGGAACCCACCTTAAGAGAATCCCACAGCTCCCAAACCTCCTACAACATGAAGGCTTTCTCACACCCACACCAGTGAAGACTCCGAGTGAGTTCAAAGTTAAGTTTCTGACTCAAGCGCCTCATTTAGTCCAGTTCCATCCCAGCGTATAGTCCAGGTCTCTTCAATTCCTAACTTGTTTCTCTAAAAACGAGTTATTGCTTGTCTTGGGTTTATGTATTCTTGACTCTTGGAGCATGCTAAGAACTACCTGTTCTTTAATGATGGGGTTCAATGAGCTAGGTGAAGGGACATGGGCCATACACTCACGCTCAGGGCACTGAAGTCAGCCCATCTAGAGAAATGCATACTCTACATTTCACAGAGGCTGCTGTGGCTTCGAACTGAAGTTCCTCAGTCCATGACCCCTCGGCTTGGGCCCCAGATCAATTTGCCCATCCTGTAATGTCCCCTGCCACTCACCCCCTACCACCCTCAGGTTTTTTTTTTTTTTAACTCCTTCTCTCACACTTCAGTAACACAACGACAAGTGTGTCAATCTATGTTGCTTTGTTGAAAACTTGAGTAGTATGTTGTTTGCAAACTGCCAGGTCCTGATAAATTGGTGCTATTTCCTTCAGGGAGATGACTACCCATCTAGAGACTGCATGCTTGGCTTGCGGAAGAGGGTTAGTTCAGTGTATCCCTGGGCTCATAGACAGCTCGATCAAAGAACCACAGATTCAAAGCAACACAGGACACAAGGTGCTCACTAAATTACATACGTTTATTTCATCATCACAATTCGTTTTCTGCTTCAGCTAAACTTCCATTTTATGTGTGGGTTTAGTAACAAATGAGCACCTGACTTTTTTGGGGGGAGGGTATTGCAATAAACAAATCTTCTTTATTAATAAATATGTTTAAGTGTTTGGTGTAGCCTTTTAATTCATACAAATAAAGACAGTCTTTATTCAATGTCATAGTTTTGAAATAGAAATCCATCATTCTCTTGGGGCAACAGTTCTTCCAATCTCTACTGGATGTTGCACCAAGTATGGTCAAATAGATGGAGCTTCTACCACCAAACAATTGAGGTGTAGAGAGGTAACTACAGTGTGTCCCCTGCAAAGAGCTGGGTACCACGTTGCAGTATCAAAAAGACATATCCTGAGAAAAACCTAATGGATGCTCTGAGACTCAATTATTTTTATTCCTGTATGCTAATTCCAAATTAGGGTGAATGACTTCCAAGTGGTCTCA